CAGCGTGCCCAGCAGGAGAAAGAACTGGTACATGCAAACACCATGACGGATCTCGCAGCCACAGAGCTGCAGGAACAGGAAGACTTTATCGCAGCACAGCGTGCCCAGCAGGAGAAAGAACTGGTACATGCAAACACCATGACAGATCTCGAAGTTACACAGATATATAAAATGGAAAAGTTAGGTTCAGCCCAGCGTGCACAGCAAGAGGAAGAACCTGGAGGTTTGAGTGTATTTAATTCTAGGAACGGCGTTGTAGAAGTAGATGCTGGAATGTCGTTTCCTAATACACTTCAAGTTATTTGCTCTTCTTTGTCTTCTGTTTCTTTGCCTGGTGTGCTTGATGTTAAGATTCATCAATCTCTTCAAACTGTTATTGAAACCCTTTCTACAGTAAATGAAGATTTGTTGAATCAGAACCCAATGTATGTATTGGAATCTGTTGATCCCCAGTGGGGCCATGCGATTGAAAGTGGTGTACCGCCGGAGAAGATTTTTCCAAGTGATGTCTTGTTTTATACTCTTCTCACTGCTCGTAATGTTCTTGTACCTTATGTGAATAACTACAGTAGTATTTGTAGTAGTAATGGTAATAGTAAGAGTGAGGAAGAGGAAACTGCTGCTTGCCATGAAAATGACGATATAATTCTTCTTGCTTTGAAAGTATTGCGAGATATTGCGAGAGGGAAAAGTGTTGGGGCTCTTTCACGGCTTACACGTGAGGATGTCGTACAGGCTATTGATGTTGTACAAGACACTTTCAGGAGAAGTGTAATAGAACCGAAAGAGAGTGATGTACTTGTGTTGAATACCAGTGATAGTTTTAATGATTCTGTCACTGTGTGTGATCACACGAAAGCAGAAGTGGCCGCAGCCTGTGATGTACTCAGTATGGCACTTGTGCAAACTGTTGAAGCTGTGGGAATTGAGATGTTGACATTACTTCGTAAACGAGTCCATGGTGGAGTGACCTTGCGTGAATTGGCATTGGCGTGTTGTATTGTGCAGGAACAATTATCATCTATTGTATATACAGAACCATTACACAAATTATTGCCACATCATGCGGCCCGCTGTGCAGTAGAGATAATGGGAAGTATTATACATGTTCTTGGAACTACCTATAAAGGTGAAGAACATAATGAAATAGAAATAAAAGCCGAAACATTAAATCTCTTATGTAGTGAAGGTATGAAATCTGCATTACAGATATTACGTACTTCTGTAATGGATGAAAATGCATCGAATGTCGATCTTCTTGCGGTTTATTACTGTGAAGAAGTGCGAGAAGCGACGGTTGTCTTGCATCGTGCAGTGGAAGCCGTACAGACAGAAAGTCTGAGAAATTCAGAGGATATGAATGTTAATGATAATGATAACAATGAAGATGATAATAGTAGTAGTTCAGGAAGAAGAAAGGGAATAATTACAAAAAGAGATCTCTTGCGGAATAAGGGAAAGGACAATAAATGCAGTAAACCTCGCGAATTGCAAGGTGATACACACTCTGTTGTGAAGGCATTAAGAACATACTCGGTGGTGTTGAATGATGTGTATAGAGATAGTGAGATCACAGCATCTCTCTATACACCAGCAGTGTTATCTGCAGTGAATCTACTACTGCAAGTACTCTACAGTGCGGTGGATATACACAACACCGCCTCTGAAAATACACCGTTGTTAGCGAGAAATAACATGCCTCTATTACAATTACTGCAGAATGCACGTACGAATACTGAAGTTATTCTTCAACGTGTCTCATTGGACTCTCAAGAGGAACAGCAACAAGCAGAAGAGGAACAACACGACCAACAACAACAAGAAGAACAAGTAGAAAAAGATCAGGAAGAACAAGCAGCAGTTGAAGAAGAACAAGAACAACAAGAAGAAGTAAATGAGAATATGGATATGCCAACAAAGGATGATACGGCATCCCCAAGTATACAAACACTAACAAAGACAAATGTATTGACTGGAGTTCATTATATTAAGCAGAAACGGTCCGAGTTCCTCGCAAAGAAAAAACGACGTGTAACGCCAGACATTCAACTGGTGGATTCTATAAACCCGAAAAGTAAAACATGTGAAGTACCATTAACTGCTGGGAATTCTCCTGATCACGGTGAAGTTCACACACCTGCAGTGACAGAGATGTTAAGCCGCACACCCTCAACGAAACCACGCTCGATTGAACCGGTAGCTTCAGCACCAAATACTCCAGAAGAAGGACAACAACAAGAAGAAAAAGTAAAAGAGACTGAACAAATTGTAGAGAAAACGATCAAAATGATTACTTCTATACGACCCATTATGAAAGATGCTTCTGTCATGACATGTGAATTAGAAGGATCTATCTTTCCCAATGATAACGTTAAGCATCAACTTGAGACCCATGATGGTGTGGTTCAAACAGATGAGTCTGCAGCTGATCTCGCAGTATATACGCAATTCTTTCTAGATACGAAGGCTATATTAGGAAAAGAAAAAGAAATAAGTGATGCAGCAGAGTTACTTTCTATCATGACAGATATGCAACAAAAAATAGATTTTCTACAAAACGTTCAAGAACCTACACTAAAGAAAAAAATGGAAAAACAGGAATGTGAGTTAAAGACTATGTATGCTACAGTAAATAAACTGCAGAATCTCATGCAACAATATCCATCTTCTTCTACAGCTGTTGGTAAAGAACATAAGATGCCGAAGATGTTACGACTGGAAGTGCGAGACCGATCCTTACCACTGAGAAGACGCAAATCATCACCGCGTAGACTCTCTTCACCGGTACAATACGCAGAGATACCAACACCTATACCCTTATCGGCTTTAGGCTTAAAGAATACTAATACTAATACTACTGGGAATATTACTGCTGTTGCTATTGAAGGTATTGTGGAAGAAGTAATCATGTGGTTTAATGCATGGCATACTCTTCATATGAATCTTGTCCGACACGATGCGGATGCTATTAATCGTGCGAAACGACTTGAGGATTTACTTTCCACCGCCAATGAAGAGCGGGATGCATATAGTGAAAAGATAAACACTCTTAACGCAACATTGTTAAAACAACAAACGGAGATTGCGGCCTTACGTGCGTTACTGCAGACATTACATATTGATGTGGATGAACTCAATAAGGCATTATCGCAGGAACACAGTGCGGCTGCGGCGGCCGCTGCGGCTGCTGCTCAAATGCGACGAACGGCTGGACAAACGGAATTATGTGAAATGGCCGCAACGGAACTGCGACTGCGAGCAGATGAACTTCAATCATTACGTGCAGAGTTCCCACGATTACAAGTATTGCGAGATGCGGGACTGGCGGCCCGCAAAAGTGAATTACTGCGGCGTGGACTGCGGGGATTGTCGCGGAGTGTTCAAACCATCACTGCCCTCCTGCAGCGGGAGAATCGTTTTAACACCGGGACATTAGAGACTCAGCGATTATTGTTGCTCGACACCGTGGCGGCGTTAACGGCGGAGATTGCAGAGATGCAGGAGACACTGCAGCAACATGTGGAGAGAAGGAAGATGAAGAGCAGTATCCAAAATCATATTAATAGTAATAATAATAATAATAATAATAATATTAATGGTATTGTGGTTCTAAAAGGGGAATCGGCTGTGATCGCTTCTTCGCGGGGTATGTTGAGTGAAGAGGTGAAGTGATTGGTATTATGAGACGACGGATATTGCTGATGGGGTGCATGTGAAGAGGGTATTTGCAGAGTAATGTCAAAGTAAGATCCAAAGAGGAAATGTACTCTTGACGGTGTTTTATGATTCTCAATATACAGTACGGAAGGAGGTATTCCTTTATTATTATTATTATTATTATTATTATTATTATTATTATTATTATTATTATTATTATTGCCTCATAGATAAATAGAGGGAATGAGATTTACGTAGATACAATAGATTAGATACTGATAATATTGCATAAATATATATATATATATATATATACGTTCTACATAAATATTTGTTTATTTATGTAAACCAGTGAATATAGATGATAAGCTTGCAAGGTTTTAGATAGTAAAAGAATGAAAAGGGAAAGAAAATAAGGATAGTGAAATTATGCCTAGTATCAGTTATCATCATCATTATTGACGATGCCTCTCGACAGGCATTTTTTTTTTGTTACCTTTTCTCTTATCATGTGTACTTGTCAAACGTTACTTTTATTACTACTATACAAATAGTATAAAACTCTTCTTTTTATTTATTTATTTGTTTTATAGACCAGTAAAAAAAAAAAAAGGTGAATGACACTATGCTGTCGTCTGCTACTTCGGGCATACGCCTCTGAAGGAAATCGCACCACTGCTGCTTTAGCAACAGCCACTACTACTTCTACTACTACTACTACTACTCATAGTAATAGTAATAGTAATAGTAATAATAATACTACAACTACAAGCAGTTCTACTGTTAGTGCTGCTCCCCAAAAGTCCTCATCGCAGCAGCCGTATCGCTCTTCACTATTAGACACCCCAACAAGTAATGAAAAAGAGATGGATGCTCTTCGTAAAGAACTGGCCGCAGCACAACTGCGAATATCCGAACTTCGCTTAAGCCAAATCAAACTTCACGAGGCATTACTCCGTCGATTGGATGAAACCGACCGGGCCGCGCACAAAACCGCCACGGAACTCCGCTACACCGCATTGGCTCTGCAATGCCATCATGATCTTCTCGAAACGGAACTACGCCGTATTTTAGCCATTAAACCACAGAGTACTAATAGTAATAGTAATAATAATAATGGTAATAGTGGTGGTGGGGCTGCGATGAGTAAAGAAGATATTAGACGTCTGCGGGCAGCGGCGATTGAGGCGGCATCGCGGGAGATGGTGCGAAAGAATATTGGATTTCGTGTGGAGAGAGTTTCAGAGGAACCCGCACCGTCACAGCGTGTAAGTGGGAGTACCAATAATAACAGTGATAACATGACAAAGAATAACGTGTAGAGTTGTTTCTACGAAAAGAGGAGGGATATGACTCTTTTTTTTTTTTTGTGGTGGTTATTCTTTATTGCTACTGTAATTATTAGTGGTTCCCTTATTTTATTTTTTTTTTTCTTATCTGTCTTTATTTCGCTCTATTTATTATTAAATATTGTCTGTGTGTTTCTGTGTATACTGCTTAATGGTATGAGAATTTCTTTCTTTGTGTTTCTTTTTTTTTTATTCTATTTGCAGACCTTTTTTTGATAGTGTAAAGAGTGTGAAATCATAATTATACTAATAATACATTGAAAAAAAAACCAAAATAAAAGGTGTGTATAATAATACATAAACTGTTTTCAAACAATAGATAATAACGAAGAAGAAAAAGAAAAAAACCATAGACGCATATATATATATATATATATATATATATACCCTTAGTTATATATATACCTAGTATATATAGATAGATAGATTTTAAAATATTCTACGAGGTCTTTACCTAAACAACATATTATGTCTTCAAGTAAACCCAAAATGACGGTGTCTGCGGTGCGTGGTCGCATTATGGTCTCTGCAGAAGACGGTGAACGTGTGGGTGCGTGGGGCGGCACGGAGTGTTTTCTCTCACGGCAAACAGGACTCGGCCCGTGTCTCGTTGTGCGCTCCAGTAGACACAAACGACATGAGGGAACTTTCTTTCAACTCAACGGACTGCAGCGAGTGCTGGCGGCGTATGCTGTAGAGGGAAAACTCACCGTAGTGGTCCCGCATGAACGGCGGGTGTGTACAGTTTTTATTGAGACCACAACAGACATTGACGCCCTTCGTGTGATGGCAGCAGTACTGCAGGATAGAAATCACTGGAAAGATATGGAGAAGAATGTGGCCTGTAAGAAAAGTCGACACACTCGTGGGGCGGCATCTACTATAATAACTACAAAAGGAGGAAGTAGTAGTGGTGGTGGTTTACGAGATCCCAATATAAATGCGGTAGAGGATTGGGATTATAATGATGATAGTGGAGAAAAAACAGATAATGAAGAGATGGGGCGTGAAGAGGAAAAGGAAGTGGTATCATATATAAAATCATCCTTATTAACAGTAGAGAGAGATGATTCAATAGTAACAACAGGGACTATAACTTCATCTTCTGCAGTAAAAGGAGCATCAACAACAACAACAATAATAATAAGAGAAGGAATGTCTGGAGTTAAATGGACGCAAGAACAGATGCGTGCGACACAATTAGTACGTAGTGGACAAAATGTATTTGTAACTGGTGCTATGGGAACAGGTAAAACTACTTGGTTACGTTATTTAATGGAATCTGTACTTTCTCATAGTGAAGATACAGTGATTTCTGCATGTACGGCTGCTACTGCACGTAGTCTTAATGGTTGTACTATTTATGCCTTTGCAGGGATGGAAAGAGGGATGTATACAATAGAAAAGGCACTTCATCATGTAAAGAGTCAACCAGAGATACTGCGAGTATGGCGAAAGTGTAAAACACTCATTATTGATGATGTAGAGATGCTTTCAGCGTATGTGTTTACACTTCTTGACACTATTGCACGACGAGTTCGAAATACACCAGATAAACCATTTGGTGGTATTCGAGTTATTCTTATTGGAGACTTTTTAAAGACCTCCCATACTATTCATCATAACCCACAAACCCTTACAGAGACTCACACAGATAATAATAATAATAATAATAATAATAATAATAATAATAATAATAATAGAGAAGGTATGTGGTGTTTTGAGTCTGCGGTGTGGGAGGAATTGCATCTTGTGCCTGTGGAGTTCCACACAAATTACCGTTATTTACATGATGTGACCTTTACGGCTGTTCTTGCAGATATTCGCCGTGGTGCTTACACGCGTCGTGTGCAGCGTATTCTCTCTGTGTGGTTAAATAGACCACGCGCTGTGCGATACGGTGTGGAGCCCACACGTATTGTAGCCGATCAACACAACGCCGAGGCACAGAATAAACGACGATTGAATCTTCTTATTCAAAAACAACAACAACAACAACAACAACAAGGAGAGAAAAAAGAAGAAGAAGATGATGTGATTCAGCGTTACAAGTCTGAGGATTATGCGTCTGTTCCTGGTATGGATGTAGACGCGGAGGTGGCACTATTGCCGTTGCTGGAACTCTGTGTTGGGGCCCAAGTTGTGCTCCTCGCCCCCCTTCCACAATCCCCGCAGTTGTTGTTAGGCGATTGTGGAATTGTGGTGTCTTTCACCGCAGCGACGGACGGGGCAGTTCTGCCTGTTGTGTGTTTTGCGCACAGCGGCGGTGAGGAGGTGGTGGTGCCGCGTGTGTGTGTGCAGGTGTGTGGGCCGGATGGATGTATGCAGGCGACGCGTACACAGATTCCACTGCGGCTTGCATGGGCTTTGGCAGTGTGCGATGTGCGGGGATTAACACTACCACTCATACACATAGATCTCAATAGTCATTCTAATCCTAATAATAATAATAATAATAATAATAATAATAATAATAATAGTTTATCGTGTGCGACCATGTGTGGGGCATTAGCATGTGTACGACAAGAACAGGATATTTCACTAGCCCGTTTAGATCCCAGTCTTCTCTGCCGTGTGGATACCAAGGTGTTAGCGTTGTATGAAGAGTTATTCCCACAGACATGGCTGCAGGAAAAAGAAAATGATGATTCTAATGTGGATAGTCAATTAGTGGAGTTGGGACGTGGTGAGAAGCGTGCCCGGTCTCCTGCTACTCCCACATACAATCAAACCAGTCGTAATAGTGATATTAATAATAATAATAATAATAATAGTGGTATGGAGACTCAGTGGAGGAATGAACGGTTGTTTGATACGCAGTTAAATACACCAATGCCAATAGGCACTCCTGTTACTATTAAACAAGATGCATTAAAACTACTCGCCGCTGCTGGTAGTGCTATTCCACAGTTTACTCAAGAGAGTGATGTGGCTGATGATGGAGTGGCGTGGCAGTCGCACACACAGACCTCTTCACAACGTTTGCTTCTCTTGGATGATGATGAGGATAATAATAATAATAATTAGATGAGAAGAAGGAGTAAAAAGATGTGAGAAGAGTTATGGAAATGGATTCTCTCTCTATCTCTCTATCCAGTTAAGGAGTGAGTGTGTATTGTGGTTATGTGAAGTCTAAAGAATGAAGAGGGAAAGAAAGTGTGTAGTTCTTAATGCTTTCCTTCTTTTGTTTTTACTATTAGTCTGAGAATTATGGTGTTACTTTTCATTTTAGCTGCTGTTTGATTTCTATTTTGATTTGGTGTTATTACTGGATTATTTCTTTTCTTTTTTTCTTATTTGGTTCTTTCCATATACACTTTTCTTGTTCATTCTTATTCTTGTTATTTTTTTTATTTCTCTACGAGGCATATTCTTAATATATATATATATATATATATATATATATATATACAGACAGACACAGAGAGAGAGAGAGAGAGAATAAAAGAAAATAAAAAAAAAAAAAAAGATCTATATATTAATATAAGAGAAAAAAAAAATAAAAAAATAAAAAAATAAATGCCGCAGGATAAACGGTTAATTATCACCAAAGCGGTAGTTCACAAAGTCCAACGTGTCTGCAACGGCGATGATGGGGCCGCAGCGGCTGAAGGTATTTTCCTCGAGTTTGTCGTTCCCACTGTTGTGATGGCGCAGTGCCCGGAACTCATCGGATCGCATGTCTTTCAACTCCCCCAACGCACATATGTGATGAATGGCCGCACATCGTGTTTAATTGTCCCTCGCGTGATCTCCACAGATGCATTTAAAATTAACAAACGCCACGGTTATTACGATGCGGTCGTCACGGCAGAGGCGGTGTGTAAACGCGATGATGCGGAGGCCATTCGCCGGGCTGTGCAGGTCGCCAACACATTTTCTCATTTCGTCGTGGATGCTCGTATTGTGTCCAGACTACCCAATTGTATTTTATCCGCAGCCGGTAATCAGAATAATAATAATAATAATCATAGTAATAATAATAGTAATAATAATAGTAATGCTGGGGGAAAGAATCGTAGAAATTCACAAACCCCATCCAATAATAATAATAATAATAATAATAATAATAATAATAATAATAATAAAACAACAACAACAACAGTGGGAAATACCTCCGCTTTAGCCCGTGCCTCCCGTAAATGTATTACGGCTTTACATGATTTGGATGATCGCACAAGTTTGACATTTCGACTCTCGCAAGGCGCCACTGGTGGAGTGGTGCGGTCTGGACAACAGGGACAACTTATTTTTCGTGTAGGCCACGGTGGAATGACGGCTGGGGATGTGTGTGAGAATGCCAAGTGTTTTGTATTTGCACTGAAGAAGGACTTTCCAACGGTGTGGAAATACATTCATGAGTTTAAGATGACATCAGGAGTGACAGAACCAATTCGTTTTATGGAAGTTCACATACAAAAATGAAAATGAAAAAAAAAAAAGAAAAAAGAAAAAGAAATTTACATGATTTGATTTTTTTTCTGTGCTTTTTATTATGATTGTGATTGTGATTGGTGTAGATGGTTTGTGTTGAGTTTATTTATTTATTTATTTGTGATTATTGAATCTTCTCGGTTAATTCTGCTTTGATGAATATTAAAGTTAAGTTTCTAAGTTACTATTTGTATTTATCCAATAATTATTTGGATAACTGTGTATATGTGTGTTTTTTTTTTTTCTTTTAATGTTTCCCATGCTCTATTGTTAGTATATTTATATTCTTTTTCTTCTTTTCTTTTGAATATTTTATTCTCCGTGTTATATGTATAGATGATATAAAATATAAATATAAATATATTTATTTATTTATTTATTTATCTATACTACTAGATACTGAAATACATCTTCTGATTAGGGAAACCAGTTCCCATAGCCGTATTCTTCTACCCTTGTGTGTGTGAGGCTGTGGACGAAGAAAGCAAAGGGAGGAATACACTTCAACTCTCTTCTCCTTCTTTTAACGCTATATATATATATATATATATTTCTCTCCTCAATGCCCACAACGGCCTCACTACGGGGAAACTCTGTCAGCATCTCTCAACGTTGTGTACCGCAGCAACAACAACAGCAGCAACAATCAACAGCACCACAACCACAACATAATCAACTCTCGCAACAACAGCAATCAACACAACAAGAGCAACAGCAACAACAACAACAACTGTCAGGTCCACAACAGCAACAGTCAGGTCAACAACCCCATGTTGATATGAGTGAGGCGTACAGATATCTTCGCCGTCATTGTGTGCATAATAAAGTGGAGAATTTATTCAGCAGTGTATTGAGTGAGCGGCCGGAGGATCCACTGCTGTACATTGTAGAACAACTCCGACACTCCAGCAATAACAACAACAGCAACAATAACAACAACAACAACAGCAATAATAAGACCGCAAAGGAACGTCCAGTGGATGTGCATACTTCTAGCAAACCCAATAATAATAATAATAATAATAATGATCGAACAGATGATAAGAATGAACCCTCCGAGTCCACTTCCGTCAAGCGTGAGGGACATTCCTCTTCTTCTCCTTCTTCTTCTTCGCCTGTGCACGCAAAGGAGGAGCCGGTGGTGGATGTGAAGGGACACAACACTCCCACCAGCAGCGATGAGGCTCTCGGGCGGAATGTGAAGAGTACACGTGCGGCCACGGCGGCGGCAGGCGACGGGGTGAAGTCCGCGCCTGTGAATGAAACCCCAATGCACCAGGATCTGAATGGATGGTCCTTTCCACCTAATCTCCCAAACCAAATTACTACAACAACAACTACAACGACTACAAATGGTGCAGTACCAAATGCGACACCTCCAGAGGCATATGTGCAAAATATGCAAACCAGTTTATGTAGTACGCGTGCAAATCTTTGTGTGTTGCGTCCTTCTTCCTCTGCAATGTTAGCACCATGGGCGACGTCTGTGCGGAGTAGTGTAGGAGCTGCAAGTTTAGACCGTGATGATAGTACTCGAAGTGATCTCTCTGCCTTTAGTGTGGTCTCTGTGGATGTACAAGAGTTCCTTCAGGAGTTTCGTAGTGTTAAGGCAGATTTTGTGGGAGTAGATACACGATTGGTGGATATTGAAGTATTATCGGAGATCCTTCAACGTGTGAATATCCCATTACCAGATGTTCCACTTATCGCCGATCTCTTTGATGAGGTAAAAGCCATTAGCTCATATCGATATTATTCCAATGGGACACCAGGGGAAGAAGACATAATGGAAAATAAAGGAACCGCACTAGTATTAGAAGAAGGAGAGTCAGAACCACGAGAACGGGTATACTTTGATGCCTTTATTTCTCGTATGGCATTTATGATTCAAGGACGATATCCAACAGAAGTGTTACGAGCCACTTTTTACACTGTGTTGGAGTCTGCTGTTCAAAAGAAATGTTCTGCAGATGGAGTTATGCAGCCACATAGATTAAGTGAGACTGCGGGAGATATCACAAGACGTACAAGTTCCTCCACAGGAAGTGTCTCCAGTGCTACCTGTCGTCCATCTGCAAAGTGTCATTGTGGTAGTAGTAATAATGTAGGGCTCACTGGTGGTAATAATATCCCTCCGCCTGTGACCGCGGCGAATGTAAATGGGACGACCTTACATACATATCCCGGCATCCTCTCTTCACGCCCCAGTCAATGTGCCGCAATAAATGATAATAACACATCCACTACGGAACTCTCTACTTTACTGCATGGGGTACCATTGGCGATATGTGTAGAGGAAGGCCTTTGGCGAGGTTTGGGTATTCCTGTAAGTAAAGCAGAGGTGGCCAGAACTTTACATATGATTGGTATTCCAGCAGATGATAACTATGAGTTTCATGTAAACGACTTTGTGCGGTTAGTAACGGCGCTTACTGGACAGACTACAGGCCAAGGCGGACACAGTCTCAGTGTGGGAGAACGACTCTCGCCGTGGTTGGCGACCACAAGCACTACAGCCTCAGCCACAGCAACAACAACAACGGCAGCAGCAGCAGCAACGGGAACAGCATCCATTGGCAGAGATGCCTCATTTATGCGACTTGGGGCATCTTGTCGTGAAGATAGATTGTGATAAAGTGCTATGTGCATATCTATATATATATATTTACATATATATACATATCTATATATAGATATAATATTATATCTGTCACTCTGCGTGTGTGTGTGTGTGTGTGAGTGAGAGTGTGTGTGTGACAACTGCGACTGTATGTATTTAAGTATGAGTGAGAAAAAGAGAAAGAAGAAGAAAAATGATGGTAGAAAGTAAAAGAAAAAAGAAATATAAATATATATATATTTCTGAAATATTAAGATGGCATATGGGGTGAAGGGAAAAGTGGGGAAGTAGAGAACAATTGCCCTGAGTAGACATAATATTTGTTTGTTTGCTTGTGTTTGTGTGTTTTTTTTTTTTTTTTTTTTTTTCTTTTTTTTT